AAGGTTCTGCTTCAGCGGCCCCGGGTTTGCTGGTTCGGATCCCGGGTGCGGACATGGCACCTCTTGTCAAGCCGTGCTATGGATAGGCGTCCCACATATAAAGTAGAGGAAGATGGGCATGGATGTTAGCTCAGGGCCAGTCTTCCTCAGCAAAAAGGAGGATTGGCAGCAGTTAGCTCAGGGCTAATGTCAGTCAGGCTTTGTAGAGTTATAGCCTTTGCAGGGTGCACTCTACAACCAAACCTCAGGAAATCATGTGACATTTATTACACTCAAGTGTTGTTCAAAGCACTATCCAGGTATGATAGGGGTTATAGTGATGGGTTGAGATAAAGCCTCTCCAGGTTATTTATAGTAGCCTGTAAAGTGATAATCATATAAGGCAAAGTTCAGTTTGAGCTTTAAGAGAGTAATGTAGTGTGGAGATTCTAGGAAGGAAATCAGTCACATCTAATGGAGTTATCTAGAAAGGCTTTGTCAATGAAGTGACACTTAACTAAATTCCTTTCTTAATTTGCTGTTACTTCAATATATACAAATGAATAAAAATATTAATATATACACACCTTATGTTTTTATACAACTGTAAAATTTTAAAGTGTATATAATGTATAGGTACAAATGAAACTGCAAAACCAATACAGATTCAATTTGCAACATTACTGTGATGGATAATGATATGTGCTGAAATAAAATCCTTGCTTACAATGTAAATTTCTATAGTGTTTTAAAGTAGAGGCTTTGGGGCTGGGCTGCTTGTATTTGAATCCTGGTTTTGCTATTTCCATTCTACATGCCCATGGACAAGTTGGCATGGCCTCCCTAGTTTTATCACCTATAAAACAAAGGTTCTTAACTTATAGGGCTCCTTTGAAGACTTAAATAAGTTAGTGCATGTAAAATGAATTAGATAGCTCCAGACATAATATGCAATGATTTCTGTCAATTATTACTGACACTATGGGAAAGATTATTTTGAACTCAGTATTCCTGCCATTGAGTGTCATGTAGTGACTCACTTCTTCCACTTGCATTCATATTACTATGAAACTTGGCTCTGATATTGAGCTATGACATTTTTCGCATTCATTGACATAACTGCATCACGAACTTACTTGTTTATCTCTAAGAGAAAATACCTATTTCTTTACAATGATAAATAGAGTTATCACGTGGGCTAGATTAGTCAAGTGAGCATTCACACTACAATCAGCAATCTCACACCTATTCTCTCTCCTGAGGAATTACCTAGAAAATGGGTTCATTGAAAATTTATTGTGATGGTTCTAGAAATCCTAAAGTTCTTTCCCTGTGGCATATCTACCCAAAAAACCAAGGCATAATCAGAAGGAGGCTTGGTAGCATGAAATCAAAGTCCATCAATTAAAAACCCTGTATTCATTTCTACATTATAGGTAGCAGGACTGATCCTATTTAATATCAATCTTGGAAGATAGAGTTTTTTTAAAAGGGAAGGGTATTCGGATGGTGGATATAGCTTGAGCACAGTTATGAAGGTAAGAATATATGTTTTATGTCCCAGAGTCAGTGAGTTCTGTGATTTAGCTAGACCATAGGATATATCAAAGGGCGTAATGAGAGATTCAACTGGGAAGGTAAGTTGGAGCCAATTCCTAGAGGATTTTGCCTACCAGAATGAGAAAACAAGCATGCACTTTCTTCCCCTGCTTCCAGTTTTGTTTCTGTTTTTGAGTGGTAAAGTGAGATAAACAGAATTGCACTTTAGGGAGATTGATCTGGAGACTTAGTATTTGAATAGGTTAGAATGAGGGAGGACCTAGAGGAAAGTAGATCAGAGAGAAGGTGATCACAGTAGTTCATCTAAAAGTATCCACAGCTTAGAGAAAAATAGCATATGAGGAATGTCATTATGTTGGACTACAGGATTTGGCAATATATGGTATATGAAGATTGACAGAGTGGAGAGAGTTTTAAAATATTCTCAAAATTTTTGTCGAATGGAGTGACAATAAGAGGGAAGTTGGGATAGTCTGCTTTTGTGGGAAGTAATAAAGAGGCTTTGGAGATGTTGAATTGGGGTCTAGCCAGAATATCCGAGTACAGGCACTTGGCAGGAAGTTGACAAATCCAGAAGTAGAAGTAGGGATAAAAATTTGGGAGTTGTCTTGCAGATTACAGTTGAATTTGTGAAAGATCACCATAGGAGAGAAGATATGAGGACAAAAGACTACCGACATTAAGGAATATTTATCTACCTTAAGAAGGAAGGAAGGGAAGAGGAATCTGAAAAAGAACAGTTCAAGAAGTAAGGGAGCTAAGTGTTCACAAGCTAAGACAGGAGAGAACTGCAAAAGGGAGGAGGTGGTCTGAAGACTGAAAAAGAGCTCTGGGACTTGGTGATTGGAAGTCACTGCTGACCTGCAGGACAGCATGTTCTTCCCTCCTACCTCATTTATTCTGGGATTACAATGGAATAAAGAGTGAATGGATGCTGAGGAAGTGGAGGTAGTGCATACAAACAGTTCTTTCAACAAGTTTTACAATGAAGAAAAGAGGAGAGAAGATGGGAGGAGGATGATAGTGGGTTCCAAGAAATATTTGTATTGTTTACTTTTTGTTAGTGTTGTCAAGTTGATCTGACTCCTAGTGACCCTGTGTACAGGAAAGCAGAACGCTGCCTGATCTTTTTGCACCATCCAGCACTATATCAGACAGTGCTCTGCTACTATTCATAGGGTTTTCGTGGCCAGATTTTTCAGAAGTGAGCAGCCTGGTCCTTCTTCCTAGTCTGTTAGTCTGGAAGCTCCACTGAAACCTGTCCACCATGGGTGACCCTGCTGGTATTTGGAATACTGGTGGCATAGCTTTCAGCATCACAGCAGCACGCAGCTACCACAGTATGATAACCAACAGATGGGTTGTGTGGTTCCCTGAGCAGGACACCAACTCAGGCCGTGATGTTGGGAGCACCAAATCTTAACCACTAGACTACCAGGGCTAGCTGTTTTCTTTATGGATGAGGATAATTTTAGTTGAGAAGGAATGGAGAGGGATATAATTAAGGAATCAAGAAGAGTAAATGACTGCTTATTATGTAAGGAGGCTAGAAGGTATATGATCAAGAGCACTAGTGGATGGTTTAGCCTCAATAGAGGAAATAAATCTAATTCAGAAATAAGGAGAAAGCAGCAGTGAGAGGATATCAAGAAACTTTGAGAGGAAAGGAAAGAAATTGGAGAGAGTGTCTGTGAGAAGTTCTTAATATTCTCAAGAAAGATAAGGCAAAGGAATGCTAAGAGGAGAGATGGGATTGGAGTTGGGGTTTGATGATAGGATGTGGAACAGCTACCACTGAGTATTACTGAGTTCACCAGATGAGTAGAAGGGTTGTGAGGATATAGCTGGAGTCAGCTAGCATGGATTTGTGGTGGAGAGTGTGACTGTGTGTCTTTCTCCAGGAATATTAAACTCAGTGATGACAAGGAAAGTAAATGCAGTGTGTTGCCCAGGACTGGAAAGATGACAGAAGACCATGGGGACACGGGATTCTAATAGTTTACCAAGTGGTTTGTTGAAATAACAACAGGAACTCCTAGATGGGTAAGGATGCAAGTCAAGTCTAAAAAGGTTAAAAGCTTTGATGAGGATAAAGAGGAAATTCAGTAGAGGAATAAGAAGTGTGAAGGGAGTAGAAATGGTAGCCAGTTTTTTAAAGAGTTTTGAGATACTCGAGCTGAAGCATGCCTACTGTTGAAGTCCAAGGCTTCTGCCAATTGGTGACTAAAGTAGACTAGACCTGGAAACTATTCATTTGGGAAGGTTGACATACTGTAAGGCCAAAGTATTGTTAGATTGATTCACTAAGGATATTGGCAGGAGATAGAGTGGAGGGATGACTATGAACCTCTTAGAGAAGGGAGACTGTGACAAGGAAGATGAGAGGGTTGAATATATCAACGGCTTGAGCTTCAGCTGAGTGGAGAGTAGTTGGTGAGTCAAGATGGAGGAATAATAGTGCAGAAGGAAGAGTAAAAGGAAAAGGTACTTTCATCTTCCTTCCGGTATTTAAAAACCCTAACCCTAGCTCCTACACCTACTATGACTTTGGATAAATTACCTAACCTTGCTAAGCTTCAGTTTCTTCATCTGTGAAAACATGGTAAAAATAGTATCTACCTCATAGGATTATTATGAGAATTAAATTAGATAATGTATGTAAAGCATTTAGCACAGAACCTACCAAATAAATATATTAGATGTTCTTGCTGCTGTTGCTGTTGTGTGAAAGATATGTAGATCTTGCATAAAGTGGGCTATGCTGTGTCAGTATAAGCTAGATATCACTTCTGGTCAGTGTCACTTCTGACACTGAAAAGTATTAATACTGGAAGTCCGTCACATCTCTTACCTCTAAGTGGTAGGACTGACCTACACTAAAACATTTTTTAAGAGTTTATATCATTACAGAAATATGGTTTAGTAAATTTGAGGAGGATAGGAGTATCCATGGAATCAAGCGAAATCATTCACAATAGAGCAAGATCAATAGAATGGGCTAGATTTGCACCACATTGGAATAAATTGTGGGAGAGTTTCATAGTGTTATATTTCTAGAGTTGAAGCTGGCAATGCCAGGGATTAGGAGTATGAAGGATAGAGTGGTAACCTGGAAGACTGCGTTAACTCTAGGGACGCAGGCTTCTGCTCGTGGAAGACATAGAAGTCCAGTAACAGAATCCAAAGTGTCAAAACGAGACAGACAGTAGAGCTAGGAGGAAGAGGAGACTACCTTTTTTCCTTTTTTGACTTAGGAGCTCTTCAAATGGCCCATGGAACCTCAGTTCTAGGAAGATATAGCTTTGAAAATGAAAAAAGTTATTCTAAGTCACTTTACCCATTCTCCTAGCCCTTGGTGTCAGAGTTTGTTTTCTAACTGTTTGGTCACATGAAAGTAAATCTTTGACTTATGAGAGTTCGCATTCCCCCTCTCTTACTCCTTTTCCCTGCTGTTTTGACAGGTGAATGGCCAAGACTTAAAGAACCTGCTGCACCAGGATGCTGTAGACCTCTTCCGTAACGCCGGCTATGCCGTGTCCCTGAGGGTGCAGCACAGGGTAGGTGGTATTTGCAGCCAGCAGCCTGGCACCAAGCTTTTGTCCCATTCTGGTGAATAAACCCTGTGGTGTCACCTTCAGGAGTGTGTTTGCCTTTCTTTCTTTCACTCTCACTCTGCCGAAGGGCTTGTCTGGCACAGGCAGGCGTCTTCTGGGACTACTTCTTGTTATTGAAGGAAATTCGTAACAGTACACCTGCAACCCAGCCCCTAGCTTCAAGGTAATGTGCCTTGAAGATAAAGCTCAAGAACAAAATTAAAATACACGGGGAAAAAAATATAACCAGAATCGATTTTAATTTTTAGTAGATAAGGAAACATATGTCTGCCCTTGAGCATTTTTATTTATAAAACTGTAAGTACATGTGGGTTTTCTGATACCCGCTGTGTACTTTTCCCTGTCACTGCCGTGAAACCCTTTTTCATCACCTTGCTGACCCTCTTGACCAAGGCTCAGGTCCCCAAAGGGGAGTTCCAGGAAAAGGGAAATTGAATTCAGAATTCAGTGAAGTTGATACCTATCCCTGCGTCTACCTCTTAGTTCCTGGGCTTTTATAATTTGGATAATGGGAAGAGAAGCCTGGATAGACATAATTCCTCCCACAGCACCAAGGACTTCAGAGTACATATACAACACAGGTTCAATGTGCTTTTAAAGTTACTCCCTCTTAAATCGATGCTGTCTTTGCCTCACTCAGCTCCTGAGTGAGGCTTCAGAGGCTGAAGAAGAGTTCAACAGGAGATAGTAAAAAAGTAGAGAGAGCAAGTCATGAAGATCTCTGAGAAAACAGCTGGGGTTGCAAGCAGAATCTGGGTTTAGAGGGATTAGAAAATAGGTCAATGGGAGACACTCTCGGTCATCAACTGCTTCTCCCCTGGCTCTTCTCTGTTTCTAAAACATGGGAGAATTTATGCAATAGATAAAGGCACGTAAATATAGACATACACTTCAGCTGTGATTAGAGTTCTTTTTGAAGGCATGTGGGGAATGATTTCTGAAGTTCACTCTTTAGGAAACATCCATAAATAGCTCCTAATAAAACAGATTCTTGTGGTCAGGGAGATTTTTCGGGCCTAGCCCTACAAACCATGTCTTCTATTGAGCACGCCCACTCAGGACATCTCATCAGGAAATGAATGAAAGATGTAGAGGTGAGAGAGAGGATAGAAAAGTAGTTTGTGGAGTCTTGCCTTTCAGATTGAGGGGTCAGAGTTTCCTGGATTGTAATGAGGTTAAATCTAACTGAAACAAAATGGTGCCATAATTGTTGCAAGTTAGCTATAAACAGTTAATATTAAGAAAGGCCACCTTTAAAAAAATGGCTGAAATGAAGAAAGACCATCAGCCTCAAAAAGGAATGCTTAGACAATGGAAAATTATAACCACTAGGATATGATTTCTTTTTACTTATTTAACTCTGAGTCTTTTACCTCTGTTCCATATAGTTTTCACCTTTATGTGTGTCTAGTATTACAGATTAGGGGATGAAGAACTCAACCCCATCTTAGGATGGAGTGGGTGCCTTTTGAGAATTGGCAAGTATTTCCAAATAATGGCATTGTACCTGTGGTAACATTGCTCAGATCTGCTCTTATTGCACTCTGATGACTGGTAATCTTTCTAAGTAAACATTGCTAGGAAGATAGACACCTCCCACCCCTGCCTGATAATTTCCAGGTTCCCTATTGGATCAGTAGGCTTCATCTCATATCTTCATTTTCCTGATGATAGAATACACATGTAGCTTGGTGGAGGCAGTACAGAAACAGAGGTTATCTGACTTACCCTCAGTGGTCCCTTTAGGTCAGAAGCACAGCAAGATTAAATGCCTCCCCATCAGACTTATTTGTTTCCAAAGAATCAGTGACACTGATGTATCAACTCAGGACAAACAGAGGGGATTCCTTCTGCTAGATAGTGCTTGGGGTCTACAGCTTTGGGTGGCCTAGAGACTATAGACCCAGGTAATATGTCAACCTGGACATTTCAGTTGTGGTAAACACATATTGGTCACTAGAGTTAACATGTGTCTTTCCCTTCTAGTTACAGGTGCAGAATGGGCCTATAGGACATCGAGGTGAAGGGGAGCCAGGTGGTATTCCCATAGCTATGGTGCTGTTGCCAGTGTTTGCCCTCACCATGGTAGCAGCCTGGGCCTTCATGAGATATCGGCAGCAACTTTGAAAAGCTTGCTTTCTTCCAGTGCTCGCGATGAAGATACATTTCTATTTCTCTCATCCTGTTCCCCTGCCATTCTCCCAACCTTTTCCCTCTCTCTGCATAGCCAACACGTGACTTAAAGAGACTGCTACCCAACCAGAACCTTGCTGTTCGACATCTCCCAAGTCCTCGTATTCTGATGAGAGAGTAAAGGCATTGTTTGAAGGAAAGCTAAAGAAAAGACTTGCTTAGAACAAATGAGGAGTTGTATATTTTACTAGGACCACCCACAGAAGTTCAGCTACAACCCAAAGAGGGAAAGGTCCAGTCTTTCCATCACCACGGTTGATACCTTTTTCCTTAGTTGGCATGCCTCAAAGGCCAGCGGTGTGACAAAAGAGAAAAAGAAGATTTTTCTTTTTAATGATCTTCCTTGGGAAGTTTTTGTGGCCTTTATTTAATTTCTAACTACATACTTGGGTGCCTATATCAAACAAAGGATAATAAGAAGAGCATTTTTACTTTTTTAAAAAAGGAAATATATGTATACACACACACACACATACATATGCACATATGATAGTATCATAGTGATGCCTTATGGAGAATTAAAGAGGTGGAAAGCTACTCTGTGGTTTCTAGGTTTCTGATGTAAGGGGTGAACTTAGTTGAAGAATTTGATATATAGTGGGAATGAGAGAGTGAGCCTTAAAAGATAATATCCAATCTGAGTCATCAAAAAAGAAAAGAAAACTGGAGCAACTAACTAAAAATCTTAGAACAATATTTCTTCTCATAATAGCTATGGTGAAGTTGAGGTTGGTTTTTAGTGCCGTCGAGTCACTTCCGACTCCTAGTGACCCTGTGTACGCAGAGCAGAGCCCTGCCCGGTCTTTTTGCTCCATCCTCTCACCTGATGCTCTTATGAGACAATGCTCTGCTGCTATTCATATGGTTTTCATGGCCAGTTTTTTTGGAAGCGAGTGGCCAGGTCCTTCTTCCTAGTCTGTCTTACTCTGGAAGCTCCACTGAAACCTGTCCACCATGGGTGACTCTGCTGGTATTTGAAATACTGGTGGCATAGCTTTCAGCATCACAGCAACATGCAGCCACCACAGCCTGACAGCCGACAGATGGGTGGTGAGGTTCCCTGACCTGAAAACGAGCTTGGGCTGTAGTGGTGAGAGTGCTACCTCTTAACCACTAGATCACCAGGGCTGAAGGTGAGGTAAAATGCCATAATCCAGCTTTGCACAAGTCCGTCTGTTCAAAAAACTTTGAGATGTAAAGATAAATCTTACCAATCTCTGAACTACCTTTTGGTACCTCATAGTCCTGTTAAAGGATCAGCTGGAATGATTGTGGTCAGAGCTGTGGTGGTGGGGCCAAACCGATTCAGTGAAAAAACACTGAAAGGAAAAAAGATAGTGCCTCCAAAGTGTCACCTGACCCTCTCTGGCTGTCTACCAGTCTTTCTGGTTTCTAGTAACAGGCAAAGTCTGGGAGAAGGAACTGCTCCCTGGCAGGATGGGCATGAAATCAGTTCTCCTTAACTGATTCTGTTAAGTTTGAAAGGGTTTGGATTGCTAGTTTTTTGAAAGGCTCTGAACAGTGGTTATGGCTTTTAATGAATAAACCATTTTGCAGGGAAAGGGAAGAAAAAGAGTTATGTTTGTCTTAGGGAGTAGGAAAGTTCGGTAAATATTTCATGGAGAAACCTTGAGAGAAGGTTATGGATGAATGGATGCTAGGGAATAGCAGGAATACTAATGAGGTGGGAACCATCCTGTTCATGTGGTATTGAAAGTTCGTTCTAAAACACTAAGGAGAGCTGAAGCAAGGCTAATTTTCTGACTTTAAGAAAATCGTTTCCCTCCTCCAAATGTACTGGCCAGACTGTAGGCCTTATATAATCTTGACAGCAAGAGCGTGAGGACTTTCCCTCAGGCAGCTAGTTGTGTCCACTTTTTAGCATGCGTGATCTAGTGAGTATTTTACAAATGTCGATTGGACATCAGCTTGTTAAGACGCTTTTACAAAGAAGTAAAATACGTAGGCTCCATCCTAAAGGGCTTTTTGGTTCCAGTTGGGAAGGGAATACTTATACATGTAAAAGTGGAATTAGCTGCATAGGCAGGCCAGCATAAGTTGGTGCTGAGTTTATATTGCAGACAGCAAAAGGGAATACTGAGACACTTGAGGAAGTTCCATGGAGGAAGGGGACAAGTTAAGGACCCTTGAGGAGCTTACAGTCTAGTTAAAAGAATTCATGAACAGATAAGTTAAAAGTATATCACCAGGTTAAGAAACAATTGAAAGCCATAATAAAAGAAATGGTACCCTTCAGAATACAGTGTGACAACAAAGATGTGCAGGCAACCATTGCATTTTTTTAGTAATTTAGGAAAAGAAAGCTGTCACAAAATGGCATCAGACAAGAGTGGAAAGGGAAGGCTTTTAAAAATAACAATCCCAGAAAGACCTACCTCTGGGTCAACTATTGGTATAGGGAGAAACTTGCTTTAAACAATCCTGATGTGGCTTATGCCTTTAGATCTGAACTGTTGTGTCTTTGAGACTCGTTAGCTAACTGCACTGGTAGGTTCCACAGAGAAACACTGACAGTATTCCAGTTATCACCTCAACCAGCCCCACTGTGGAGGCACAACCTCCAGTGCCCTCTCTCTATCTGGAGGCGTGTGCAGCAGCTTCTGCAGTGGGCCTGCTTACCTCCCACGATTCATCTCAGGGTTTGGACATTAACTCCTGAGAGGACCTTGAGACACAAAATGAAGCAAATGGCAAGCAAGGAGGAAAGCTATTTAGTTTTTATTTGTTGGTTTATGTAAATAAGAAGAACACCTATCCTATCCCATTGTTGGTAGAAGTTTTGCTTTGGTTGATAATAGAGATTCTGATGCACTTTAATAATTTAGATTTTCTCTGGAATTAAAGAGCATTTAGAGATCAATATATTAAAGTTTTAGGCAGGTATGCTATTCTTATTTCTGATTCTCTAGAAAACTAAATTATCATAGATCAAGTATCGGAGTCTATTGTAGGTCATTAGAAAAATTCATGCTCTTTATAGGTTGTATCTAATATTCTTACCACCTAAATTACTACATTCAAAGTTCTAAAAACTGAATGAAAGTGTTTTAAACACCATCTACATAAAACACTTCTATGTTTATCATCCTATATTATACGTGTGATTCTAATAAGATATTGTTTGCTTCAGTTGTCTCTCTTCATTTCCTGCCAAGTTTTAATCTGTGCTGTTGATTTAGCTTAATTAATCACACGGTTTAGCCATTTGTGATGGAAAAAGGAAATTAATGTTGTTACTGCATTCTGTGCCAGGCACTATACTAAACCCTGATTGGTACACTATTTGTTCATGCCTCACAACTCTGATATCTAAATATTGTTATAAAGACACTGAAGAAAAGAGAATAAATTACTTTCCTAAGATCACATAGGTGGTAATAATAGGATCAGGGTTTAAACTCAGGATTTCAGATGCCTCCATCAGTGAGATTTCCTCACCGGCAGTGGTTCTCAAAGTGAGGTCTGGACAAAAGCATCAGCATTTCCTGGGAACTTGTTAGAAAAGCAAAAGCTTGGGCTTCACCGCAGACCACTGAACCAGAAACTGAGTAGGGCATCCAGCAATCCGTTTTAATAATCCCCCCAGGTGACTGATTCACGCTAAAGTTTGAGAATCACTGCTCCGTGCCAATACAGATCTTCCTCGACTTAACAGTGGGATTACATCCCGATAAACCCATCGTAAATTGAAAATATAAGTTGAAAATGCATTTAATACACGTAGCCTACCAAACATCATAGCTTAGCTTAGCCTAATTTACACATGCTCAGAACACTTGTATAGCCTATGGTTGGGCAAAATCATCTAACGCAAAGCCTATTTTATAGTAAAGTGTTGAATGTCTCATGTAATTTATGGTACACTATACTGAAAGTGAAAAACAATGGTTGTACAGGCACAGAATGGTCCTCGATGTGTCGCTTGTTTACCCTCCTGATTGCATGGCTGACGGGGAGCTGCAGCTCCTTGCTGCTGCCCAGCATCACGGGAGTACTGTACTGCATATCACTAGCCCAGGAAAAGATCAAAATTTGAAGTACAGTTTCTATTGAACGTATCACTTTTGCACCATCATAAAGTCGAAAAATTGTGAGTCAGTCCATCATCGTAAGTCGGGGACCGGATGTAATTGTCCCCTCCTCAGGTTAGAATCACCTGGAGAGCTTATAAAAATTCCAATGTCCAGACTGCCCCTAGACCAATTAAGTAGACTAGGGATCAAACTGAGACAGCAGTAAAATAAAGTTCATCAGGTGATTCCAGTGTGCAGTGTCAGTAGAAAACGCTCTATGGCATTTAAACCTGGACACTGTTTAAATTATTAAATTACATACAGGCATTGCTCCTGCCAAAAATGAGAATTTCACTTGGGCCTTTTTAGACCCCAGCTCTCTCTGAGCTTCTGCCCCAAGTACAGATGTGGAGTAAGAGGTGCAGCACTCTTTGGCTTCTGATTTGCTAAGGACTGATCAACCTCCAGCCAAATGTGTTAGTGAATGTGTCAGTTTGTGCATCTGTTAAATTAGAACCAAATCATAGAATATTGGAGCTAAAAGGGAACCAGAAAGATTTCTAGGATGAATCTGTCTTAGGGATGATAAAATCAAGGCTCAGAGAGGTGAGCTAACTTAACCCAGATCAGAGACTTAGTATGTGGCAGAGGTGCCCTTTCTGTCTCATATTTATGTTTTGAATGTATCCACTACGTGAACATACATAAAACTACCCTTTTTATCTCAGTCCCCTTCCATCTTTTCTCTTCGGGCCTTGGATAAAGAGCAGGAGAACAGATTGACAACTGAAGCATGTTGCAAGCATCATACAAAATTGGGAGATTCCACAGAATAATCTGAGAAAGACCCAATATCGGATTCAATCAGATGAGTTCTTCTGAGACTAATTCCAACAGTTCTAAACTAGAGAAATATGTTTTTTGATATTGGGCATTGTAAGCAATTTTTAAAATACATTTAAAGAAATGAAACAACATAAGGAACATTAGTGTGTCAAGTATGTGGGCGAGTGGACTTCATGTAATTTCATGTGGGGCCGATGTTCTGTTCTAGTCAATTTCAGTTGAAATTCCTCTTTAGACAGATGAGGGTTTTCTCCATTCAACAAGTGAGTGCCTACTATATGCTGGATGCTGCAGATAGAGAAATAAAATATAGTCAGTCTAAGCTGAAACAGCTCATCTGAAAGTGCAGGAGTGTTTGTTGCTGATCTTGAAAAGTATTTTTCTATCACCTAGGAGTAGAAGACTGAGTTACAAAGCTCTCTACCTCTCACCTGTAATAGATTTAGAGTTGGTTACTATCCTGGGGTAAACCCCTTTTGCTGTTTCTCTTATCTGTAAACTTTCTGAGACCAGCACTCACATCCACAAGGGCAATTTTGATCAAAAGGAAGACAGTATTTTAAGGAATTCTGTTCTGATCGGAACCAGGTTCTTAACTGCCATAGATTTGCCTGATGTTGATATTTTTATATAGACTACAAAGCACTTGATCCAC